GGAACCCCCTGGAATCCCAGGAACCCCCTGGAATCCCAGGAACCCCCAGGAACCCCTGAAATCCCTGGAACCCCAATGAGTCCCAGGAACCCCCTGGAATCCCAGGAACCCCCAGGAACCCCTGGCCTGTCCCCCCCCAGGGCCTGATCACCGCCCATGACCAGTTCAAGTCGACGCTGCCGGACGCCGACAAGGAGCGGGAGGCGATCCTGGGGATCCAGAGGGAGGCTCAGAGGATCGCTGAGCTGCACGGCATCCAAGGGCCAGGGAGCAACCCCTACACGTCTGTCACCCCCCAGATCATCAACTCCAAGTGGGAGCGGGTATGGGGAGCCCTGCATCCTTCTCCTGCTGCTTTATTCCTGCATTTTCTCCCTTTTCTGCTCCTTTATTCCTGTATTTTCTCCCTTTTCCTTAAACCTCAGTCACCCCCCAGATCATCAACTCCAAGTGGGAGCGGGTATGGGGAGCCCTGCATCCTTCTCCTGCTCCTTTATTCCTGCATTTTCTCCCTTTTCTGCTCCTTTATTCCTGCAGTTTTCCCTTTTTCCTAAACCTCAGTGAGCCCCCAGATCATCAGCTCCAAATGGGAGCAGGAACTGAGAGCCCTTCATCCTTCTCCTGCTCCTTCATTCCTGCATTTTCTCCCTTTTTCCTGTGCTTTTCCCTTTTCCCTAAACCTCAGCGACCCCTCAGATAATCAGCTCCAAGTGGGAGCGGGTACTGAGAGCCCTTTCCCAGTTTCCCCTGTGGTTTCCCAGTTCCCCCCAGCATTCCCAGTTTGTTTCCCACACCTTTTCCCAGTCCCCCCAATTCATTCCCAGTCTCCCCCAGGTGCAGCAGCTGGTGCCCAAGCGGGACCAGGCACTGCAGGAGGAGCAGAACCGGCAGAATTCCAACGAGCACCTGCGGAGGCAGTTCGGGAGCCAGGCCAACAGGGTGGGGCCCTGGATCCAGACCAAGATGGAGGTCAGCAGTACTGGGAGTACTGGGAATACTGGGAATACTGGGAATGCTGCAGTCAGCCCCGGAATGGGCCGTGTTTGGGGTCAGAAAAGGGCTGGGA